GACCCACACTCTGCAGACTCCTATTCTCTATGTTTTGACCATGTGTGGCCTTTTGTGTTCCTGGCCCTCTGTTGCATGAGGGAGCTTCATTGATGAGAATTGAAAGATGCATTAGTGTTCTCTTTTATCCCATGTTCTATGTTCCCTGAGCCTTAGGTATAGAGGTTACATCACAGATGTACCACTTAGGCTTGGGCAATTCACAGACAATCTCTGTGTATGAACAGTTGTGAAACTCTGTAATAATCTCTGTCGAAAAAGAAGCTTCTTTGATGGGTGGTGACTAAGATACTTGTCTGTAAATTTAAGGATCCATATTTTGCACATAGTAAGAGATTACATTTGTCTAGGGATGTGACAGTCTTGAAGTTTTCTCTAAGATCTATGACCTCTCCGACTATGTATATTTGACTAGGTTTACAGTACAAACATGGGTTTCCTCCCATTGTGTGGGCTTTAAGTATAATTAGGTAGTTGTTGATTACCCCTAAGATAAAAGTGCCACTACTGCACCAGTGTCGTTTGCTGAGCTGGTCATCGATGTGGTTTTTAGGCCTTGAAGCTGGGGTTGGGCCATCAATTGATGTTCTCCCTTAACAGCTTGCATAGCGCTCTCCAAAGCTATGAGAGCTAGCCTTCAGGGGAGGTGGCTTCCAGGTCAGTTCCAGCTCCACTGTTCTACATCATGTGTCCACAGTGTGTCCTGTCTTCAGCAATAGGGTCTTACCATCAAGTTCTGGGAGGTCATCAAGGGCTATGGCAATCACTTGTGTAATTTTGAGAGTCCCTTGAACTACCCTGGCCAACAACTCAAAGGAAGTTTTCTCCTGTCTGGCACTGTTTCTTGTTATGTAGCCTTCAGCTGTACACAATTTGGGAGGCTCACTAAGGGGAGGCCCAATTTAGGTGCTCTCAAGTATTCTGAAAAGGTCTGGGCCCCAACTAAAGAGAAAGAAAGTCTAGCTCTGGGGTAGTGGGATGGACTGCAGATGGTCCCAATGTGGGGGCATGTGCACTACATGATTTTGGAAGCTCACCACCATGCAGAGGTCAGATCCAGGCACTCTCAGGAAGTCTGCAAACGTCTGGTCCCCTTCTCTGAAGGGCAGAGAAACCTAGCCCTGGAGCAGTGGGAGGGGCTGCTTGTGGTAGGGGGATGTGCATGGCACTGATCTAGGATTTGGGAAGCTCACCACCACGCAGAGGCCAGATCTAGGCACTCTCAGGCAGTCTGCAAGGGTCTATTGTTGAGTCTTATAACTACATGTGGACCAGGTGACCCAGAGAACAAGCACAGACAAGAAGGACTCCACCGCTGCAACCTCAGAGCTGGTGGGAAGTTCCACTTGGTAAGAGGAGGCTTGGGAAGCATGCACGAACCCTGAGTGATGTGCAGAACTGGGTCACTACGCACCATCTATCTGCCAGGTACAGGCCTCCTGCCCGCCCTCTGGCTCTTCCTCACTCCTGTGGCAACCTCCCTACCCATTCTCTCCCTCCGGAGGTGTTTTATCCACGCTTAGGTCCTGGTCACCTGCTGTGAGAACACCTCTGGCACACAATGCTCAAACTCCACCCACTGTGGGGTTTTCCCATACCCTCCCTGCCAACACCACTCTCCTTTTGACTTGCTGATAAGTGGACACAGCTGATTCCCACCTCGGACATGAGAAAACTGGGACCCAGAAAGGGAAGGAAGTTCGACAGTTTGAGTACTTGCAAATGTGCCAACAGCCCCAACCATAGGAACTCTCTTTACTGCAGAAATGCAGACACTGAGAATCAGGCAGACAATGACTTGTCCAGTCCAAACAGCAAGGACCTGACAGAGGCTAAGCGCAAACCCCGGAATTTTTGTACTTCAGAGTGTGAGATTTAGGATATTGGTAAATAGGGTCAATAGACTGCCCCCCTCCAGGCCTGCTTTGAGGACCAAATGGGGCAATGGGCCTGAGTGTGCCCAAGGACTCAGAATGGAAGTGCAGTGTTGTCCCATTATACACAATCATGTGGAGAGAAGGGACAGATGTAAGGAGGACTGCAAGGTGCCCAGGCCACAGCAAGCCATCAGCATGTCAGAGCTCAGGGCCCCCAGGATCCTGCCTGCCCTTGCCACCACTCCAGAGGGACTTTCCTCCCAGAGTGGAAACTCCCAGTCAGACAAAGAAAGTAAACAGCGGGACTTTCTGCCCAGGCATGTGAACTGAAGCCTGGGGCTAGACCCTAGAATCCTGGGTGCAACATTCACCCTGCTCCTACAGTCTCTTCTGGCCACCCAAGGCCTCCGTGAGCACCTTACTTGCCTCCAATCCCATTAGCCATCTAGAAGGACACTCAGTGGTGTAGGCGTCCCCCAATACTGAGAATCTGCCAGACAGGGGAGAAAGGCCCAGTGGTTGGTCCAGCATGGTGGCTGCAGAGAGCTGGGGACGGCCAGAGTAAGAGGAAGTGAGCTGCTGCTCCTCCTCCCCATGCTCACAAAGCTGCAGGCCCTTCCTCCCTATGGAAATCCACAGTGCCCTCCCCTCCACCCACACCTGCCCATCACCCACAAGTTCCAGAGGTTGATGTGGATTGGGAAGGGCCAAGATAGGAAACACCAAAGGTGGCCTCAAGGTGGCGCAGGAAAAGTGTATGGTGACCAAGCCACAAGAGGGTCAGACACCACAACCCCACAACTGCCTCCGGATGACCGCTGCTGCTCTGCATTGTTTCTTCTGTCCAGATGCTTCCCCTTCCAGGCCAGCAGGACACCAGATCATAGGAATCTTGATCTTGTCCAAAGTGGTCCAAATCTTGCTCCCGTAAGCCCTCTCAACCACCTGACAGAAGCCCCAATCACCTAGTATATCCTTTCTCTGATCAAGTTTGGCTCCCCAGGTTGCTCCCCACCTATGCCATGGGCTGGCTTTGAGTGAGTGGCTATGTTCCTCAGTGAAAACATGCATGCGAGCAGGCTCATTCCAGACAGATCATGGGTGTGGTCCTCTCACTTCACAGCAGGTGCGGGAGTCACCTGTAGGCCCTCTGGGACAGAGTTGGCTTCCCTTTACCCCATGGCTGACAGCCAGAGGTTCCTGTTGGTGTCTAAGTCCCCTACAGCTATGGTTCCAGGTGTGGAGGTCTCTCCCCACAGTGGCCCCACATGGCCACTTCGCTCTGCCCACTGCTCCCTTCTCAGAGGGGCCCCTCAGTGCTAGCCAAGCATGAAGCCTCATTTTATTCTGCCCGGAAGGGAGTAAGCAGTTTTACAGAAAACAATTTGCAGGCAAATAAAGGTGACCTTTCAAAGTTGAGAACGCTTTTATTTGGGGTCCTTGGTTCGGGAGCTGTGTCTGATGTGGCCCACAGGAGTCCCTGCCTGGGCCAGCAGGGTGCAGCAGCATGGTACATTTCTCTTTGCCCATGGCTGGGGCCTAGGACACCTGGTCTGTGATGCATCAGTAGAGCATCTTCACTGAAGAGGTAGAAATGTCCCAGAAGGGGAGACAGTGTAGACTGTGCCTTTCTCACCCAGCACCAGCCTTTGCCCACGGCTGGGGCCTAGGACACCTGGTCTGCATCTTCACTGAAGAGGTAGAGATGTCCCAGAAGGGGAGACAGTGTAGACTGTGCCTTTCTCACCCAGCACCAGGGGCAACTCCTTCCTTTGGCCAGGAGCCCCAACCTGTACCCAAAGCCCAGCTCAGGCATAGGTCCTGCCCCTAACTTACAAGACAGAAAACTCACTAGATTGTGAGCTCTTTGGGGTAAAGGGCCATATAAGGAATTCATATCTCTCCCAGCTGAGTGCCTGGCACATAGCAGATGTTCAGTAAATGCGAGGAGCATCAAGTAGAATTAAGCCAGTAACTTCATTTTGCACACTCTAAGATTATGATCAAGTGTTCTGCTGGCTACTGCTGGGTTACTCTGCCAGCTTTTTGTCCCGCTTTGTGACTGTTTAAAGGCCATTTAGAAAAGTGAGTGCCAGAGAACTAAGGGTCATAAGTGTCAAAGTTGGTGGGGTGACACTGTCTGCAAAGGTCCCGGATCTGCTGAGCTCTGCAAATGCTGGAGGGTCACTGCCTCTGAACCAGGGAGACTAAGATGAGCAAGGTCAAGATGTAACCCTGGGCTATGGCAAGTAGCAGGTCCCAACAATGACTGCACAATCCCCACAGGGAGTGCAGAAGGGACTCTGTCATCCAGGAGATGGAACATCTTCCAAAGCTGGTAGAAGAGGGTCACTTTGACCAGGAGGTAAAAATGAGCATGAATTCACTTAGCACAAGGGGCCTTGGAGGAAGACGGCCTGAGCAAGGAATGGGCATGGGTTGGGCCAGCTACAAAAACAGAGGGAATCAGGCACTGACCAGAGGTAAGGTCAGTAGATTAGCAGAGATCAGTCATAGAGGATCTCAGAACCCCAGAGCGGAGGCCCCAGGAGGGACTGAGCCAGGAAACCAGTCAGAGTGGGATGGGTTACATTATCCACAAGAAGACCAAAACTGAGTAGGCATGGGGCCCCAAGAGGCCTCCATAAGGTAGCAGGGGCCCAGGATAGCACCACGGAGGGGCTCCACCAGAGGTCAGCCTTGGGGGTGGAAAGGGCTTCTGATGGCCCAACTGCAGCACAGGATCTTAGCAAACATCATTCTACCTGCAGGTCAGCAGAACAACCAAGGCTGGAAGTGTGTGGATCACTGAGGGGGATCACTGACAGGGATCACTTGGGGAGTCACTGAGGGGATCACCGAGGGGGGATTCCTAAGGGGGGTCACTGAGGGGGATCACTGAGTGAGATCACTGAGGGGGGTCACTGAGGGGGATCACTGAGTGAGATCACTGAGGGGGGTCACTGAGGGGGATCAATGCCATGTGTTTCCCTTTCAGTTCTTAAGATGGTCTAGCTCACCAGCTCACTTGACAATCCCTTATGGAAGATGAGAAACTGAGACCCTGTGGTGTCACATGGAGTATGCAGTGCTGCCAGGCTAGGCCATGGCAATGGTTCCATCTCAGCCCTGGGCATCAGGCTCAAAGCCCAGCTCCTCGTCAGGGAGGGGGTCTCCAGGGCTGTCTGGCAGTCCATAGTACAGGTCTTCCTCCTCCTGCTCTGGCTCCCCCACATCTGCATCCATAACCTCCTTCTCCTTCATCCTCGGGGACTTTTGCTGGTTGTCAAGCAGAGCTGTCTCTCGCACCTGTCCCTCCAGGGCCATATCTTCCGATGTGGGGGTGTCATCAATCAGAGCAAAGTCATGAAAGCGATCCAGTGGGCCCCTGTAGACCCAGGGCACCTGTGGCAAGTGGTATGGCTCTTCCCTGTCAGGTGGGGATGGGTGGGGGCTGCTGCCTTCACTGGACCCCATGTCCAGGTCATCTTGGAAGGAGGCCAAGGGTGCAGGGCCCTGGGGACAGGCTGGAGAGCTGCAGAGGCAAAGACCACAAGACAAGGGAAGGCTCTGAGTCACATTGCCATGGCCTAGATCCCACTAGCTGAAAGGCCTGGCAGAGCCTCCAATTTTATCCCCTGGAAATTGGGGCAATAGGAGCTTTGGCTCCTGTGGTTGTTTCTGAGATTTATAGCAGGTGGTATGTGCAACGCACTTCACACAGTGCCTGGCATATAGTAAGTGCTCAAACAACAGGGCTGCTATGTTATAAACCAGGTAGCTCATCCACATCTCCAGGCATTGAGTCTCCTCTGGTCCCTCACAGCCCGTGTCACACTGCAGGTCCCTCTGTGCTGTTGGTCTGCCTCCCTGACTGGACTGAGAGCTCCTGAAGACTGGAGGCCAGTGAAGTCTTGGGAAGAAGCTGGTGCACAGTAATGATGGAATGAGTGAATGAGTGGAGCCATCAGAGACCCAGCTCACAAATAAACAGGAACTTGATTGCAGCAGAGACCAACTTGCCGGAGACTACCAAGCAGGTCAGAGGCTGAGCCAGGATTTGAATTCAAGCCCTCTAGCTCTGGGTCCCTGCCGCTCATGACAAGCATGCAAAAAAGGAATAGCCTACTACGTGCCAGGCACTTGAAGTATTGTCCCTGTGTAGTGGAAATGGATATTCCCATTAGAGAAACTAAGGCTCAGGAGAGTCAGAAACTCATCAAGTTTTATAGCCAAGGAGAAAGGGTTGCATCCAGGTCCACCGGAGCCCCAACTCAGGCTTATTTACCTGTGACAGTTGCACCCTCTGCTGCCTGGTCCTCACTCCCAAGTGTCGCCCACTGTGGCCCACAGCCCTCCCTCCTTTGCCCTGGAACTGGGTAGTACCTCCATTCCTGTGCCCTGTCCACTCACCTGCTCTGAGTGAGAGGTCTTTCTCTCTCATTCTCTTCCAAGCTCCTGTGGACAACCACGGCAGCTTCCATCCAGGCCTGAGGGGTGTGACGCTCACCTTCCCCACCACTGCTGCCTCCTGGCTTCAGCTCAGGGGCCAGTAGAGGCCGGGGATCCTCACTATAGCCCATAGCCTTCATCTGGATGTGGGTGAAGTCTGGAAGGCTCTGGTCATAGGCAGCTTCCTCCCACAGCCTGACATAGGGGGGCTGGGGGCTGGACCTAGCAGACACAGGGAGAGAAGACAGGCAGGTAGACATGGATCACTCACTAGGGTCCTGACTACTGTGGGCACATGGGGCCCCTGATCTCACAAGAAACCTTCCGGGGAGGGCATTACTATACCCAGGTTATGGATGAGGAGGCCAAGGCCCAATTAAGTGAGTGAATTAAGTGGCAGAGGCTCTGGTCTGACTCTAAGCTGACATCAATTAATGTCTTCCAAGGTAACCACAGGGTGTGACTGCAAAATGAGGCGGAATCAGCATGCAGGGTTGCTGAAGCACACCTCAAGGCAGAAATCATGACTCCCGTTCCACAGCTGGGATGCCCAACAGAGCAAGCCACAGCTACTGTGAGCATCTTGCCTGCCAGGCGCAGAAAGGAGCTCCTCTATCCCCTCAACTCCAGCTGGTGCTGTGAGGAAAAAGTGAAACTGGCTTGAACTCAAGACTGATACAGACCCTGTCTGGTGGTGTGGGGCCCTGGGGGCCTGTTCTTAACAACTGTGCTTGAGAGACTAGACCCTGCCTAAGGTGACAAGTCAGAAGGAACCAAGGGTGGCCTGAGCCAGGGTTCTGTCACAGTGGTCCATCCCCTGCAATTGGCCTTGAGACAAGGCTTGGGGTTGCCCTGCCCACCAAGGATGTGTCCACTGTGTTCCCACTGGGATGCCCTATGCGTCTGGAGCAGAAAATGCCAGCATAACCAGCTACCCTCACCAAAGCAAAGTAGCTATGAGCCCCCATAGCTCCAGGGCCTGCAGTCTGACCTTTGGAGCTTGGGTTCACAGCTCAGGGGCTTAACTAAAGTCAGGGGACTCTTGGCTATACCCCAAGCCAGAACCAGAGCTTGATACCTCCAGAGAGGCAGGCTATGGCCAAGTCAGACCAGAGTTTAGGCTTGTCTCCATCACTGATTCCCCGTGAAGTTTGAGGCTCATGTTTCTCTGAGCCTCAGTTTTCATATCTGTAAAATGGGGATGATAATGTTTAATGCATAAACTGAGAATATGAAACAACCCATAATTTCTGAGTGTTTCCTCAGTAAGTGGAAGACAATGTAGAAAGCTGAACAGAGAAACAAGACAGCAACACTCTTCCTGATGCTACCTCTTCTTCCCCTGCCCCTCCTTCTGATGTGTGGGCAGGCTGAGGAGCCCACTGCACCTACCTCTTTACCTCCACAAGCCCATTCTCCAGTAGGCTCAGGGTCTTTGGGGACAGGATGCCTTGGAAGTCAGAGTCTGCAGGCACAAAGGCGATCTGCAGAGAAAGGGGCAGGATTAGAGCTGGCTGTCTCCACATGCCCCTGACCACTGATCCCAGAACCTGGGAAACCTCTCTACACATGGTGGGAGAGAAAGAAGTAAGGCCTCTGCTTGATGAAGTAGTTCCTGCTTGGAGCACAGCCCCAGTGGATGGAACTAGGCTTCTGCCTCCACCACACTCTCTTTCTTTCACAGGACAGTCACTGTCACCCTTCTGGGAACTGGCAGCAACAATGAGTGACAGAGACGCCCAGCCCTGGAACCCAGGCCCATCATTTCCCAAAGGTGTCAGCAGCAAGTGCTCCATCTATATTTATAGGTGAGTGAAAAGCAAGTCATTGTCCTGTGATTCACTACACAGAAGCTATCAGGGGCAGAGATGTGGATAGCTGTGGTTCTGTCCACCAAGTCCCTGAGCTTTCAAGATCAAACAGCCTAGTTCCAGGGGTGGCCACTGGTTGGTGGGAAGGCAGACCATGAAAGAGGGAGCCAGACAGGGCAGAAAGATCCCTGTCTTTGGGGCCCTGGAGACTGGTGAGAATCTTTCTCTGCCAGGTCTGTGCTATGGGTGCTAGGATGGCCATCTCTCCTCCAAAAGCCTCTTTAAGTTCTTATGGATAATGAGAGCTGGCCACCCCCAAGAAATACCTGCTCCTCCCTGTTGAGAGAAGCACCATGCACCACAGCCAGGAGACAATCCACTGTCCATTGATGGGTGATGGATAACAGAAGGCAGGGAACATATGCAGTGGCATACCAGTCAGCTTTCAGAAGAAAGTTCTGACACACACTACATAGATGAAACTTGAAGACATTGCGCTGGGTGAAATATGCCAGATACCGAAACACAAATACTGTAAGATTCTGCTACCCTAGGATACCAGGAAGTAGACTGGCATCTCCCTGGTGGTAAGGAGGGAAGTAATGGGGAACTGTTGCTTAGTACGTATAAAGCTTTCATTTCCTAGGATGGAGAGAATTTTGGAGTTGGGCTGACCACATTGAGAATGTACTTAATGCCGCAGAAGAATTGCATACTTACCCCTGGTTAAGACAGTGCATCCTGTTTGTATATTTTGCAGGTTTTTAAGTGGGCTCGTTGCCTGTCTCTCAAGGTGGCTGTGAGGACTCTCTGAGCTCACACTTGCTCAACAGATCACAACCTGGCTCTACTGAAGACTTAGCCACTGGACTCCCGAGTCTGGCCCTAGCAGCTGAATTTTAAACAAATTTTGTTTGCTTTTTTAAAAAAATATGTATGAGTGTTTCGCCTGCATGTATGTAAGTGCACTAATGTTGTTCAATGCCTGCAGAAGTCAGAAGAGGGTGTCAGATCCCCTGGAACTGGAGTTATGAATGACTGTTAGCCTCCATGGGAGTGCTGGGAATCAAAACTGGCCCTCCACAAGAGCAGCCAGTGCTCTTAACCACTGAGCGATCTCTTTAGCTGCAATTGAACATTTTCAAAGCAGCATCTGGTGAGTCCCTGCTGAGCTGGGCTAGTTCATAAACAGTACTTTCTTGTCCTTTCCCACAGAGTGAAGTGAGGGAAGTACTGTCTGCGCCAGGAAAGCCCTGTGATGGTGGGGAGAGGGGCGCAATGGTGACGGAGCTCTTAGACTCCTTGGATGGAGGAGCTTCCCCTAGGTGTATGGAAATAAGGACGCATCTAAGCATCTTACATCCTTATTAAAGATGTCCTGTGCTTCTTAGAAGCTTTCTCTTCTCCCTCATTATCTCATGGCCCAGACACCATCATCATCATGGTCTCCTCCATCCTTATTATCACCACTATTGCCGGGATCATCATCACTATCACCATTGCCACCATCACCATCACCATCACAATCATCACCACCACCCTCACCATCATGGTCACTGTCACCATTACTGCCACCATCATTACCATTGCCATCATCATCATTACTATGGCCATCATCACCATTATCACCATGGCTATGCACCATCATCACCACAATTACAATCATGACTGCTGTCATTGACGTTATGAAAAGCCCGGAGGAGATGGAGAGGAGATAGCATCTTAAAACACAAGTCCTTTTTCTAAAGGAGTAGGAAAGATAGGCCAAGTTGAAGCTTAAGAAGGGAAATCAGACCTGCAGACCCTCAGAACATCAGACTAAAGAAGTCAGCCTTGATTCATAGCAACAGGTGCTCCAGAGGAGTGATCAGCAGAAGAGTATCCATTAGAATTTTGTCCAGGCTGAACACCGACCAATCCCTAGAGGGAGGAATCATGGACAGGGATGCCCACAGAGAGGATGGGTCCTTCAAACACCAGGTCCTGGTCTTGAGCTCCAGTAGAACAGGCAGAAGTGAGAGCGATGTGGGACCAAGGCTCTGCCCTCTCTACCATGATATCCCCTTTTCCCATCTCTTTTGTTCCACCTCAGCTCTCAGGCTCAGCATCTCCTAGTGCCTCACATGCTAGATTTGCCCTGGCTCTATTTCCCCTCTTGGCCCAGGCTTGAGGCTCAGGTGAACATCTGATCTAACCAGGTGTGCTTTCAAAATTCAAAGACTATGGTGAAGGATTGGAGCCAGCCTAAGTACAGCAGGCACGCCATGTGTGGAGGACTAGAAAAGTCTCCTCAGCTCCTACTGCCTGGGTTCAAATTTTGCCTTAGTCCAGGTAAATATCAGGTTAGAAAGGAGGCCAGACCATCCTTCTTGATGTTAACCTCACAGATCCTATAAAGCAGAATGTGTCCTTTTCTTGTCCCATCAAATAAACAGTAAGGTTGAATCCCTTATGTAGCATTCTAAACCCCCAGGAACTGAGTCCCACTGTCCTACACCCTTCCCACGCTGTCTTTGATCATGATGTTCTTCTAGAATGTCTTCCCCATCTTCTTTGCTTGATGAACTTCTACTTAACCTACAAAGCCTAGCTCACCTGCTCTACGTAGCATGCCTCTTTCCTCATCAGGCAGAAAACTGCCTCTCCCCCAAAGTCCCCAACTCCTCAAAATCAGGAGAACTTAATTCATATTGGTATTGGCTGCCCACTCCTGTATCCTAATTAATAGTTCTCTTCCCTGATTTTCTTACTCACCCAATCCACAATATTCCCATTTACTGAGTATTTCCATGGGTCAGGCAAATAAAACCAGGAGAGGAGACCGAGGGGAGGAAGAATCTCCATCCTTACATGTCTCCTACCTTACTGGAATCCGGTGTGATGACTATAAGAGCCTGAGTCACCCCACAGACCTCCCAGTGCCAGCAACACAGACCCAAGAAAGAGGCCTCCATACCTGCTCCATACAGGCATGAAGTCAGACTCCCTCCCCTCCCCACCAGCCCCCTCTGCTTCCTCCCACTTGACCATGTAAGGCACGGGGAGAAGGGTGCTCTGCCAAGGTCACAGAAGTGGCAGAGGACATAGGGGCTTGAATCTAGATCTGAGGGACACTAGGAGGTGTGGGTTTCCACCAGCCATGCTGCCTCCCCCACACAGGAGCACGTGACCCTTCAACAGTTACTCATTAATACAGCCCTGTTCTTTCCACCAGCCTCCCCACTGCCACTTGGCCCCTCCACCCCTGGGAAGGATGCAGTCTACCCTATGCCCCTACCCTTTCCAGGTGGTGACACGGTAGTTCTGGCCCCAAGGCCCTCTTCTCCTGGTGACCTCTGCTCAGGACATTGCTCACACAGAGGTGAGTTGACTGTAAACTGCTGGGTAAATGGCTCCAAACCAGTGCAGACTGCCCAAGCTCCAGACATAAGTGACAGCCTAGGGCTGGCCACAGAGCAGGCAGGGCTGGGAGAGGCTGGGGCTTGCCCTCCCTTCTCAGAACTCTTTCTGAGCACCCCCAAAGGGGGAGGGGAGGAAGAAGCTGGCAAACGAGGGCCTCAGTATCCCCCCCTTTTCCACTCTGTCTTTCTGACTCACACATTGTACAGTTCAGGAAACTGAGGCTCAGAGAAAGAAGTGGCTTGAGCAACAACTCCCAGGCATTTAGAGACAGAACGCAGGTTAGATCCACGTTGCTCTCCTTTGTCTCCCCTGAGTCTGTCTCTGACCAGCTATGTGACCTTGGAAGAATCACCTAACCCCTCTGGACACTGAAGGGGTACAACTCCTGACATGTCTACTCCTTGAAGTTGTGGGAGGATTGGGAACAGTAACAGCAGCAGCTGATTATCTAAACACGACACTACAGTTAGAAATATGCCTCTTTTCCATCGCCCTCTCATCATAGTAACCATAGAACTGAGACTTGGGGCCTTACTTCGCAGATTACAAACAGAAAAATAAAGGTCACCCTTGGAACTTGGAACAGGGCAAGAAATAGAGCAAGGGGCTCCCATCCAGTGCTCCCTCATCTCTACGTGGCTTATAGGCTGGGAAGCCATTAAGGCTCTGAAAGAGGACAGCATGCCACACCGATTATGCCTAACGGGCCAGAGCTCTCAGCACCCACAAACAGGGTTCCCTTTAAATTGAGCCTCAGCCCTAGCGCTGTGACTTAGCTAAGGGAAAGTGGCTTTTGCTTTCAAGTCTGCAGAATGAAAGAGAACTACAGAAAGCACAGAAAGCTCAGGGTAGGGTAGAGGTGAGCCATGGGCACCGGTTTGGAGGATGGTAAATGCTGATCACCTTCTGCTCAAGTAGGGGTTCATTTCACAGGTCCTGCTGTGTCCCTATAATGTCTAGCTTGAGGCCCAGATGCAGGGACTTCTTGTCAATCACAATAAGAGATGGGTGGATGAGGGGAGGGATGCTTCCAGGACAGAGAGAACAGAGGGTGTCCAGAAGGGAAGGCCAGGGATTGGTGCCTGATATGATGCCAGCCGTCTATCCTCCTGCCCCCTAGCCCCCATACCTTAGGGTAGCACTGACACATGCTCCAGATGACACCCCCAATCACCATGATGCTTCCCATGGCGTAGAAGGTACCGTAGACCTGAGGTCGATCGTGGCTCATAAGAAACGTGCCTAGGGATAACAGGAAAAAGCCCAGCACAATAAAGCCGATGCGGAAGGTCTTCTCGTCAGCCATAACAACCGGCTAGCTCCAGTCTGTGTGTCCTGGCAGAGGGCACACCGGCAGAGGGCTGCCCACAATCCCACTCCAACACCTGACAGGCTCTCTCAGAGAGGATCAATTCTCTGGAAGGGAACTGATGTTTAAAGCACAAGACAGGGCAGGATCTCTGTAGGTCCAGCTTCCAGTCCTGGGCTCAACAGCTCTGAGGGCAGGAGATGACACGCTTCAACAGGCCTGAGAGCCAGGACATCTACCTTTCCTCCAGCCACTGTCCTTCCCTCTGGGCCCACAGCCTTGGAGCATGGGACAGAGGCAGGGGAGGGATAGGGGAGGTCACAGGGGCTGGGCTAGTCCAGCTTTGACATCACCTCATTTGCTTAGTGTGGATCTGAGCCCAAACAGGCTCCACACCTCCCAGCCCACGGAAGTGGCTATGATTCTGCTGCCCCAAGTGGGGCAGGGCTGTGGAAGCTTCCAGATTCCACAGGCTTGCAATTTAGACTCCTGAAGAAATCTAGCCTTCTCAGGGGCACCTGCTCATCTGGGCTCAGCAGAAATGGCTGTGCCTATTAAACGGTAATCATCCTAGACTTGACTCAGTTCAGTTCGCTTACAGGGAATCCCAGAAGGCAGGTACCATATTCCCACTTCACAGATGAAGACACAGACACAGACAAGTGATCTGCCCAAGCTCACAGATAACAGCAGAGCAGCTGGGACTGGAGCCCAGAGTCTGTGTGTCCCACCAGCCTGACCCTGGCCAACCACAACACAGGTAAAAGCAGGGGCAGTTCCGATGATAAGGCCCATGTTGGCCTTGGATCTGTGTCTCCTGCTGTGTGGAGCACACCCTTGCTCACCCTACCTGCCTGTGCTGTACTTTCCTCCTGTATGAAAAAGGAACAATAATAGTCCAGTCCTTCCCAGGACCAGAACTGGCTCCAGGCCTGGCCTCCTATTCCACATACCATTCATACCTGCTTGTTATGCCAGCTGGGGTGAACCAGTGGCTCTTCAGGTGTCCCTGACTGGCTGACAGACACTTTACCTGGTCCTGCCCCCTAGCCTGGGAAAGCCCTCTTTGTCCTAAGGATGACATTCTGGGAGAGGGCTGTCAATTATGGGACAACTAATGGAGAAGTCAGTTTTCTTCCCAGGGCAGCCATTGCAGAGACCCAGGGCCACCAGGAGTCACCACAGGTCTCCAGAGCAAGGGCTCCACAACTGCTTGAGCCTAGGGACTTGCCTATATGTGGGCTGTGCGTGTCCATCACACTCTACTGCATTCATCATGTACCTTGCCTGGCACATCTGCCCACAGGGCCCCTTTCCAGCACAGGGTTCTTCTCTCTGATGCCCACCATCGCTGTCCCTTGGCCTTCTCCAGCTATACTTCACAGTTTGTACAGAGACCCTAGGAGTAGGGCTCAGGGACCCTGAGAACATTGCCCAGTGCCAAGTTATTGATCATCTCTAGATTTGACTCCTAGGGTGAACTTAGACAGTAGGCTTGAGTTTTGTCATTTGTGGATTGCAAGTGGCTATTAGGACACATCCCAGGCTGGTACAGGGGAGTGACACAATGCAGCAAAAGCCATCTGAGATCATCAGAGGGCAGGGACCTCTAGGGAGATGTTAGCATCTTCTTACAGAGACTTGGAGATGGGAGGCCACAAGCACAAGGTACCCGTCCTAGAAAAAGAGACAGAGACAGAGGCCCGGTGAGACCTAGACTATATGGTCCCAGGAAAAGGCAGTGGCACACAGCCTGAGTGAATCTCTGCTGTCCTCACAGGAACTTCTTGAGCCCTCTGGTGGCATTATGGCATGTCTGGCATGGCCCTGCCGCATGCTGTGGGTCCTGCCTCTGTCCATCTGTACACAGAAACACCTACTCAGCTAAGGAAACGGAACCTGAGAAGTGGCAGAAATTGTTCAAGATCTCCCCAAACATCCAAGTTCCCGTAGAAATGGATCTGGCCTTTGGCCATTCCTGAGAGGCCTTGGAAGGCTCACTTGAACACTCTCCTCTCCTGATCCTTTCTTTCTTTTCCACAATCAAGTCATCTTTGTTCCTTTTCTCTGAGTCCCTTCTCCTAAAGACAATGGTAGCAACAGGAAAGGAACTGGGATCAGTGGGTCTGATCTCTGGCAGAGTTTGTAATAAGAATTAAATGGGAATGCACATTTGATACTTTGAAAGGTTCTGCTAGAGGTGGTTCCTGCTTCCACAAGCCTCCAGTTCACTCTGCCTGTGACTTTCCTTCCTGCAGCAAGAGGGAAGCGCAGCAGGAGTGGTCCAGGAGTCAACGGTCTTCCAGCAGAGGGCGTGTTGACTGCTGTTTTCTTGCAGTGAGTACACCTGATAGCTATGAGTGCAGCCTAACCCCAAATTGCAAATTTACTTTAAATATCATATTTTTTGTGATTTTTTTGTAACTTGATTGCATGGTTCTCAGTATGAACTCTATGGATGACAACGATGTGTTGCATATCAAAAAGTTGGACAGGAATTTGGCGTCCTGGGAATGAGCTACCTCACAAGACACCCAAAGCTGGGAGGGGGAAGAACACACCCATGACATGCAGAAATCGAAGTCCATGGGGACATAGAGCAACCTGAGGAGACAGAGCCTGTCAGTACCAAGATAAGGTTCCAACCAGGTCCTTTTGGACCTCTGCTTGAGCCCCTACCGCCCAGGGCACTCTGAGGACACATGAAGCTTCAGCAATGGAGCCCTCTGTCCTGCCTTCTCCAGTGAGGTATGGTAAAGATACTGTGTGTGCGTCTGTGCACAGCCAGCCCATGGTACACTCTGCCCGTATCAGCTGTCTTCGGAGACCTTCTCAAGCCTCCTCTCTCCCCAAATCCTGTTGACACTACTTTCCATATATAAGAATCCAGTCACTTGTCACCCTCTACTGCTCTCTCCCCATCTCCAGTCTCTGATTCCACCCTAAGTCTCTTTTGTACCTAAATGTAAATCAGTTCATCTCACTACTCTGCTCAGAATTCTGGAATAGCTGACTGTCCTTTCAGAGTAAAAGCTTTAAGGTGGCCCACAAGTCCCAAGATCACTCGTCTCATGGCCTGTTTATCACCCCTCCTGGCTTTTCATTCAAAGACCACTCTGGCTCCATGCTATTCCTGAATACACAGGCACCCCAGGCCTTTTGCACCTGCAAGTTCACCAGTAGGCTAGAGAAGTGGGAGAAACAGGGTCTCTCTCCAGACTCCTTTGTGGCCTGGGGTAACTCCTGGAAAGAGGGAAGGTGACAGGAGAGGAGGAGGAGAGAGACCAGAATGGGGAGTAGGGCTTGGTGCCAGGGAGGGCTGAGAAAGGACCAGCTCTGGGAAAGAGCTTCCCAAGGGACAGCAAGGGCAAAGGCCCAGAGGTCTGGCTGGAGCAAGGAGGGTGTGGCAGGAACTGAGGGTTTGGGGGTTGGTATGCAGAGCAGACCTCACTCCCAAAAGGCTTTTGTTACTTAAAAGTGAGCAGCAGGGCCTGGACACTGAGGGGCTCTTGGTAACCAGGGAAGACTGTAGCAGACAGGGATGGGGCAGGATGGCAGGGCGGCCACTGCAGTGGTGCAGCTCTGAGCCTTCCCCTAACCAAGGCTGCTTTCTCCCTGGTTACACAGGGACACTCGACCTGGAAGAAGGGGCCTTTTGTAAGCGAGGAGGAGACAGGGGCAGAGGCCTAACCCAACACCCAGCAGGCCCTTTGGGCATTGCCTTATCCAGCCTTTGAGCCCCTGCTGCTGTGGGACCCTGTGGGGAGGTCAGTTGGCCTCACTGAGCCTGAATGAGGCCGGACAGGTATCTCTACTGAGAAGCTGTGTTAACTCCACAAATACTACCTGCTTCCTTCCAGGCTTTTGGCCACCACAGCAGAGAATGCCTATCCTATCCGACTACCCCTGGGTGGTAACAGTGAACACCCCAGACTGCATCCAACTAGCCTTCGGTTGCAGCCCTGGAGGGAGAGCGACTGCTGTGTCCCTTATGGTCCAACATAAGCCCAACACAGCCTGATCTGAAGGGATCTCAGATGTGATCTATACCTCAAGCTGGACAAAAGAATACAAGGTTGAGCTAGTAACTATTAGCCAGGAATGTGCAGAGCCTGGCCAATTGGTGGCACAGTGGAGGAGCAGAATGCAGGCAGAGAGAATGTGGCTATTGCTGCCACATCTGGAGAGCCAGGGACAGCAGTGAGACCTCTGTCACAGGAGATTTGGTAGCAGATGCCAACTGACTGAAGCTGGTAGAGAAAGCTTACCTCTAACATTAACTAAGACTTGCAGCAGGCCTCAAGGCAGGCCTCTGGCCTATGGCTGCACCCCTGTTTGCCACACAAGCACCCAGCTCATCCCATGAGTCTTTCCCACTCAGAACTCTGAGGCAGGGCTGCTGCTGTAAGTCCCAATTCTGTCTTACAAATGAGAAAACTGAGGCAGAGAAAGTCATTGCCAGGATGGTACAGGGTAGGACCCAGGCTCAGGGACTGAGCTCAGAGTCTGTGTTCTCTTGGTCACAAACTCAGTGTGTGAACTCAGACCACATCTGCTTCTGCCTCTGCTCCTGTGTTCTCCACACAAAATCTTCCAACCATCAGCTGGTGTGTCCCAACGCATCACCTTGGAGGTCCTAGTCAGGCTTGGCCAGTGATGATAGCAGAGTCCCAACACCCTGTGGGGAAGAAGAACCACAGGGACCAGCCATACATAAAATGGTGAGACCCAATGAAGTAGGATTTATTTAAGACCAGCTAATGAGGGGGATGGGTTTCTTACACAGCAAATACAAACAAAGCAGCATCCAGCAACACAGCTTTATTGAGTGCTCACAGCAAATCAGGCACTGGAAGAGGGCCCAAGCAAGTCTCATGGTTTAGGGGCCAGTTTCAGGACCTGCTAGGGACCTGTGACTCTTCTGCGGTTTCAGCTGAGCTTGGACTGGAGAGCGCAGAACCTGGACCAGAAATGGCACCCTGAGTGAGGATTACACTCTCATAGCTGGGTGGAGATGAGAGGGACAGCATCCCCAGCAGGGCATCCCCTGGGTCGTGGCACTGCAGGTCTTCCTCTTCAGGCTGCCCAGGGCGTGCCGGGGGACCTTCAACCAATGGACAGTGCATGGCTTCTTCATATGTGGGGATGACGACCTCCTTGGGGGCCCTACGGAAGAGGAGAGAGGCAGTTAGCAGGGTTACCTCCAAACTCTCCTGCTTGCTAAGGAAACAGGGGAGCCTGGGGCCAGGGAGCTGCATGCCATCCCCATTCACAGTTCTCTATGAAGCTTGCTCAAGCAGCCAGCCAAGGTCAGCTGTCCTTCCTTCCCAGAACTCCTCAGTTCCCTCTATAGGAAAGCTTCTCACACCCTTCCCTGCCACCACTCCCCATTCTGACACTCCCCTGGGACATTTTCTGACCTGTCCCCACTCCCTGCTTTCCACTGAACTCCAACAGTGCTCTTCTCTGTCATTCTACTGACACTATCTGGTTGTTCTCTAGGGCAGGGATTGACTCCAGGTGTCTAAGACAGGTGCTTGGAAGTTGTTTATTAAAAGACTGAGTGCTGGTCCATAGACGTAAAGACTCCTATTTACAAGGTTACAGTTGTGGTACTCAAGGAAAAATGTGATACTTCAATTTACTTGTCCAGCTGAATGCTTGAGACCTTGATATGGTAAAATTACCAGGTGATTACTTCTCCTTACGTGCCTCTAGGGATAGAAAGCGCACAACCTACCAAGTTAACCTCTTCTTTTACGCCCACTGCTGCCCTCAGAGTAGCCCACCAGGAGACAGGCTCACCACTCCCAGTCACAGCGCAGTTGCTGAATATCCTGGATTTGAACTCAGCCTGGAAGGCAGCAGAGTGCCAGGCACCTGTCAGGGGACCTGTAGACCAACAGGCTCTCACCTTACTCTGAGCTCTCAGCAGACTTTGCAAGGGAAGGCAGTGTTCCTGCCAAGCCTGTTGGCACATGCCTGTAATCTCAGGATTCTGGAGGCAGAGGGAAGGGGATGCTTGGGCTATATAGTAGGTTCAAGGTCAGCTAAGGCCACATAGTATGGCCCAGTCTCAACAAGGCAAAAAAGAAGGGGGCAGGGGAAGAAGATGGGGAGGAGGAAGAAGAGGAGGGCTAATGCTCCTGGAGATAGCACGCTGGATTCGATTGCTGTGTGGCTTTGGCTCTGTTCACATCTTCTCTGGACCTCTTATTCCTATCTGTGAAATGAAGATAATACCACCTCACAGATTCATGTGGGCTATAGGACTCCCCTCTCCTTTCCGTTCACCTCTAAGTCATGCTTTGTCCTCCCTACATTGTTTGAGCCTGCTTTGGGACCAGCCCAGAAGATGGGAGCCAGCAGGACAGCACGCGGGTGCTACGGAAGCTCAGCCCACAGCAGGAAGTTTGCTTAGAGGGCAGGTGTGCAGCAGCCCTCAAGCCACCTCCTGTCACCTCGGTGGCCAGCTGGCCCACCAACCCTAAGTGTCCAAGATTATGATCCAGAATGCCAGAACACAGGGAACTCGAGTTTTAAGGGAGGCCTGTTGTAGTGTGCAGGAAGGTCCTGGTGCATTCTGGTCAGGGCACTCTGCAGTTGTTGGGGGATGGTCCTGTCGGGTGGTCTCATGCACAGAAAGGTCACTGAGGCCAGGGCAGCCTGGTTAGGAGACATGCTTGCTACCACCCCTGCTGCCCTCCAGCTAAGGGAACAAATCCAGTAGGGCAGGGTGAGCCCCACTGATCTCACAGACAAGAGAAGGGCACAGGAGTTTAGTGTATAACGCCCTCCTCAGATGGCAAAGCTCATGCTCACCCCCACCTGTATACCCTCAGGTCTCCCTTTAGTAAAACAGGACTAATCTTTGCATCCACTCCTTAAGCAGCCAAGGCTCAAACCAGGTAGCAACCAAGTCTGCATGTTGTGAGCTATGCGATTCAGAACAGCTAAGGGATACAGGTCTCCTCACAGTGTGCACACTGGCCACCGTCATCTCATCAGTCTAATGGCACCCAGGAGGACAGAAGGCTTGATGGTGATCTTCACTGTCAACTTGACAGAATCTAGAATCACCTAGGAGACAAACCTGTCTGTCTATGAGGGAGTTTCTAGATTGGATTAATTGAGGTGGAAGACCCATCCTAAGGGCCAGGGCCCTACACTGAATGAAAATGAGAAAGCGTGCCAAGCATCAGCAATAAATGCTTTCTGCTTCCTGACTGGACACAATGTGACCAGGTGCCTCACATTCCTGCCCTTCCCATGATGGACTGTACCCTCAGTGAGCCAAAATAAACCTTTCCCCAAGTAGTTTTTTGTGAAGTATTTGGTGACAGCAACGAATGACCTGTGCAGAAAGCCTTCTCTGCTCCTCCCCTCTGATATGTGAGATGCCAGGTGTGACTCAAAATCTAGGGACAGCTGCAGTCAGCTCATAGAAAGATCAGAGACAGAGGCTGGCCTTTGGAGCAGGCCTGGCACTGTCTGCTGTGCTCGCCAAAGGGGACAACTAAAGAGGACACCAGAGGCCTCTCCTGCTACCTCCTTCGGGTCTGACAGTTGTCCTGTGAGCTCCCAGGGTAGGGTTTTGTCCTTCTCATTCCTGCTGCATTGTCAGGACTCTAAATCAGACCCAGCACACAGTAGGTACTCAGTCAGCATCAGGTAGATGCATGAAAGAATGAGTAGGTAACTAAGTGGGGACGAGGACTGCCCAAGTCAACAGATAAGGGAACCCATGTTTCTGACCACTATCAGGCAACCCCAGAGCGTGAGGTGCCTGATGACAGGACAGGCAGAGGATCTTCCTGTGCAGACAGGAAGGAAGGCACAAGCAGGTTTCCTCCACTCCCAGTCACACATTTCTGAATCTGAGACTTGGGTCCCAGAGCTGGAAGGACTCCCTCCTGCCTCCTGGGTGGGTGTCCTGCCTGTCTGGCTGACCATGGCATGGCACACCTGACCTGCAGCTGTGGCCTGGGACCTGTTGTCGCAACACTGTTATGTGTACAGACAACATGCTACTGCACTCAGGCCAGGCTCAGTAGGGTGGGAGGGGCAGACCTGGCCTGGCTCTTAGAGCTCTGACTTCCTTTGTGAGTAGGTGGGCCACTATCAGAGACTGAGAAGTGCAACATATGCCTGGATGGGCCCCAAGGCTTACCTTTTCTTCTGACAGCCCCTTCAAGGCAAGGTCTGACGCTCAACCCAGGCTGGCCTGGAACTCACTATGTAGCCCAGGCTGGCCTCAAACTCATGACAATCGCCCTACCTCAACCTCCTAAGTGCTGCATTACAGGTGTGCCCTACCATGTCCCCAGTTAAGGTCTGGCTATGGGCTAAGTGGTATCTGTTGAATGCTGGATCTGGCCTCAAGGAGCTTTGTGCCAATAGTGGAACACTCCAGAAGGCACTATCTACCTGACAAAGGGAAGAAGAGCATCCAGGCAGGTCCCCCACCAGCTTCTAGGAGCATGAGTCAACCCCTAACTGAGCAGTGTTGGGGATGGGCACAAGCTCAGCAGGCTCACACCACTGTGAGCTGTGAGTGACAAGCCTTCCTCTTCTGCAAACAGCAGTGGTTTCTGGCTGCAAAGGCAGATAAAAGGCGGGAAATACATGCAGGCCCCTGCGGTATGGCCCACTGGATCCTTTGTTGAATGAATGAATTCCCAATGAGAACATGCATAACTGTGTTTTCTCAAAGGTCAAAACTGGTTCCAGGGCATAAAGCACAGATGTAGCTGTACACAACACAACAGACAGGCTGGTGCAGCTATGTGAGTCAGATTTTAAGAAAACAGGTCTAAAGGCTGGGTATGGTGGTACATGCCTGTAGTCCCAACACTTGGGAGGCTGACAGGAGGATCACATGTTCTAGGCCAGATATGGCTACAAGCCAAACTCTGTCAGGAAAATAAAGGAGAAGGAAGGGGAAGGAAAGGGAGGGAAGGGGAGGGGAGAGGAGAGGAGGGGAGAAGAGGGGAGAAGAGAAAATAAATGTCCCAAAAGTCTAGGGAATTAACTGGTAATGGAAAAAAACAGGTTGAGACTGTCTTGACGCAACTTTTGCCTCGCCCCTCGCCCCTTGCCTACCTCACCTCTCTCTTATCCCCACCTCACCCCTACCTCACTCTCACCCTGCCCCCACTTCACTCTCACCCTACCCCCACCTTACTCTCCTAGCCCCACCGTTGCACATCAGAAATATTGCCATTTCCGGTGCATCTCCTGTGTGCTGGGCACAGGGCTACACCCTCACAACGGCTCACCCACTGGCCTAGGTGTCCCTGAGGCAGGGAACTGGAGAGAACACTGACTCCAGGCCAGATTGTTGGGTGGAGTCCCAGTTCCGATATACTAGCCAGGTATCCTTGGGCAAGTGGCTTAAGGTCTCTGTGCCTGGGTTTTCAAATAAATTAGGCCTGGCTAAGTCACCAGGAATGTGTAAAAAGCACCCAGCGCCAAGCCTGGCCAGTGCCCTCCTGTTCGTGCCTCCAGGACCCTTCCTGTGCCTGGGCTCTTGGCTCCTCTGGTTCTTTGCTGGGCGGGACTGCTGCTTGTTCCTGCAAGCCTTCCTGGATTTCTCCACACCTCCACAGGATCGTGTCTGCTCCTCACACCGCTCTTATTACTCTGGTTTGTCACCTGCCTCTGTCATGGGACATCCAAGTCCCCAGAGCACCGAGCAAGGCCTTTTCCAATAGTAGAACCTCGTGAAAATGTGCTGAGCAAATGCTGATATGATGACTGTGGCCAGTCACCCGAGGTCCCCACCCTGCCACACTGACCTGCAGCTCTCCTTCTCAGAGGACTCCACTGCCAGGCGGTGCAGGTCTCTGGAGACTCGGTACAGGTCCCCCCCGAGTGGCCCTTTTCTGCCATCCTGGATGGACCACAGCAAGCCAAAGAGCAGCAGCAGGCCACCCACACCGCAGCAGAGGAAACTGGCGGACTTGAGCAAGGGGTGAGGCACTTCAGGCACAGAGTGCTCTGCAGAGGGGTCCAGCAGGCCGGGTGGGGCAGCTGTACCCTCTTCGCTCCACCATGCAAAGCAGAGTGTTCCAACCACCAGGACCACTGTGCCGCCAACTGTCATGCAGTAACGCACGGTGGAGGCCACTCGACCCCTGTCACACATCTGCACACCGAAGGAAAGAGAAGAAATAAGCCAGAGAAACATACCGAGACCTTGGAAAAAATCTGCCTCCTTTGTGCCTCGGTTTCCTTACTTTGACATGGAGACAATGCCCATGCACTGCAGAATTACTTTGACAGTCACAGGTGAGCTGTATCCTAACACCACACCTGGGATACAGTAGGTGCTTAATAAATGGGGTCACACTTACTCTAGGCCTCTGCTCAGGCCTCAGGGACCTTGGCCTGGTGGGTAGATGGCTCCTGTGGTGGCTGGCTCATGGGAAGCTCAGAGGGACCAGGGCTGTGCTCCGCCTCCCCTCCCCAGGTCACCATCCCGTGGGTCCAACTCTTGTCTCCGTTTGACAGAAGATAAAGGGATGGGGGGATCAGGATAAGTGTGAATGAGGGCACTGGAAATGTGAAGTTGAATTTTGTGCCATAGAGCAACACTTTGCAAGGAAAGTCACAGGACTTTGTTTCTAACAGTCACAGCATGGGAAGAGCCGGCATACCCAACCTTAACAAAGCAGCCCTCATATGAACTATGTTGGAATAATATGAACCCTTCAAAAAGCCATGCTGAGCACAGATGTTCAGGAGAGGGGAGCATCTGTGGCATCTTACTTTATCAACCAACTCTCATGAATCACAAGAAGAATGAGGTCTCAGATAAAAATGTTGCACAGGGAAAATTCAGGAAGGAAGCCTGGCCCTGGACCCCACAGTCAGGAAAACGCAGGCACTTAGGTCCAGGTTACCCATAATGCTCAGTTCTGGGCCTTTCACTGTCGCTACTGATCCCTTTGCCTGGTGATCCCATGACCTTTCTGCTAGGCTCAGCTTGGGAAACTGCTTAAATCCCCTGGGCTACTGTGAGTACAAGCACTCACCTCTTGGGGTTGTCTTGTCTCCTCCTTAGCTTGCCCCCCTACTAGACTGGAGTTCACTGAACCCCTGGACCACAGTATTGTACAGAGAGATGCTGTGTGCATTTGACTGCAGTTCTCTGCTGGGAACTGGCCTTCAGGCAAATACAGTCAGCCTACAATCAAGGCACAGCCAAAGAGGGAGACAGACCCCTTCCAAACCTCTCCCACATCAGTAGGAAGAGGCTGTTGGGAGGAAGGCTGGAGCAACCAGCTTAGAGAAAACTCCAAGCAGGTCAGCAGGGGAAAACAGCACCTCCCACTTCCCAGCCTGCACAGCAGGGTTCTGGATACCTGAGAAGCTCACACCTGGGCATGCAGACTTTAAGTCACCTATAATGCTTTCTATTTTCCAGAAAAGCAGTGATTGTTCATTGTGAAGAGAACAAAATGGCAAAATACAAGTCAGCACAAATCCTGACCCTTAGAGATGAGCATGAGCTCATGGGGTCATTTCCTACCTAGTCCTCCCTTGGTCTACACACATGGTGATGATGGCAGGTGGTGTGTGCTGGGCATTTACCAACTGGGCACCACACCAAGCACCTACAGGTGTCCCCTTGCTTAATACTCATAACGGTGTTATAGTCCAGGGACACTGGGCTCTGAGAGACAACTTGTCCAAAGTTGGGCTAGATTTGGATGCAGGTCTAGCCTAAGCTTAAGTTCCCTTGTATGTATGTGCAGAGCCAGGTCTGTCTATATATAGTTTGAGATGCCTCCAGGCAAGATCATCTCATAAGTCTGTATCTGTGGGGCTGCTCCACCCAACAAGGCACCTTCCTTCCTCCACCTGGTTTCAGACAATGGCTCCTAGTGTGTCCCAGCCTCGGGCCATCCCCTGGAATAGCCTTTGGTGTGTCTCTCATGGGGGGGGTGACCATTTGTTTCTGTGAGGGTTTCCCTCCCTCTTTGTAGATTCCCATGGCAGGCAGGGCATATACTAATCTGCCATGAGGTGTTTGTATCCCTTGGATGGAAGATAGTCTGCCTCTGTGTGTGATGGTGGCTTTCTTCTCATTATAAACCAGGTGCTGGCTGGGAATCCTGCCCCTAGACCTCTCCACTCCCATTTCAGAGAGGCCACCTTGAGACACTTTGCTATCCCTCACACAGGTGTGCCTCTAACCCTGTACCTTAATAGGGGAAAAAAGAAGGGCTCCCTCCTCTGGAGAATATGGCCCCAACCCCTAGGGGGCAGGTAGGAAATTTTCCAGCCCCTGAGAAGTTCTACCCCATCCTGTCACTCAGTCAGGGCCTGCTAAGCTGATCCCTCCTCCACTGTTTACCCAGCTTCCCTCTTGCCCCTATCTCCACCCCAATCTAAGCTACCTGGGGCTCTCTAAGAGACCTGCTGCTCCCTCTGACAGGGGCCTTGCAGGAGGCAGCTCAATATCCCCTCCCAGGAACTACGACCACCTCCCTCAAGCCAGGTGATACCTTCCCAACCAGAAGTCTCTGTTCATCACACCTTCCCCTGTTCAGAGCTTTGGGACCTAGCTCTTCTCAGCTGTACTTTTGAGTTCATATCCTGCCTCTTAGAATAAGAAGCCACAGAGTTGAGACCAGCGATCTGTAAGTGAGGCCTGAGTACACAGAGCTGGATCCTAGTGGGTCTACTCATACCCTTGGCAAGTTACCTAGTGGCCTCCTGGCCCAGATGTCCCCGCTGTAAAATGGGCATGCTGCCTGGGAGGACTAAACAGGAAATCACCTACTTTCCTGCTGGTGGGAATTAATGTCCAGCAGCACCTGCCCTCCTCCCCACTCTGTCTTGCCCCACCTGTCCACTCACGGGGTTCAATAGAAGTAAGTTACTAGAAAGTCCTGTTGCTGTGAGGAGAGAAGGGAGATGGGCACCTGACACTCAGACCCACAGGGGGAGAGGGGACCAGCAGTACCTAGCTACTGTCCCACAATGGCGCTATAAAAGTACTTTAGCCACCTGCTTCTGTAAAGAGAAAAACATCCTGACAAGAAGTAGCCCACCCAGGTCCACTAGCCGCCTAGAAACTGAGGCCCTCAGTGATGTGGCACTGGGCCACAGGAGAGGTAAGACATTGGATGGGCCCCACAGGGTCCAGATTAAAGGAAGGGGCAAGCCATCCTCTTAGCAGGAGACGAGGTACTCCGGAGTGAAGGAGACAGAACGTTCGCACCCACCTCCCGCGCAGTCATCAGGAGGACCGGTCAGGCGTGGTCCAGGCGCGCGGAGCCGGGGACACTGGAAGGCATGGTGGCTGTGGCAGGGGAGGCGGCGCCCTCGGAGCCCTCGTGGGCTTCCTGAGGTCCCAGTCCCTGTCGTTCAAGTTACCCTCCGCGGCGACCACACCACGGAGCTGGGGCTCTGGAGATCAGACTGGGGCGCTGCCCACCCTCTCTCCTGGTGTCTCAAAGACTCAAGTGCTTAGGTCTGTTCCAGGTGCAGTGTCTAGTTCGGAGGGCCCCGCCCAACCTTAAAGCGACAGCGTGAGAGCAGGAGGGCATGCAGTTTCCCTGGGCCCTTGGAACAGCCCAGATGGAACTTTGGCCTAGAGACTCACTTCCCAGAGACGCTCAGCTGAGAGGGCCGTGGGAGGTCCTGATCCAGGACCTCCTACAGCCTTCCACAGAAAGAGAAACTGAGGCTCAAAGAGGAAAAGCCACTTATCCAAGCATTTCCTGCATCCTATGTTGACATGATCAGCTTTCTCACGGGGGAGGGGAGAGGAAGGGAAGGATGTCAGAGAGCAGCCCTCCTAAGCCCTCCCCTCTCCACATTCCAGGACAGCATTGTCAGCAAGAGGACCCTTATCATCCCTGAGGGCACCGCCCTGTGGAGAAAGACCAGAAGCTATGGCACTAATTTTTCTGTTAACACCATTCTCACCCACCTGTGAGTTATTGACAGAGGAAGAGTGCCTGATGTTTTTATGACCAGGTAGTTTGGGAACCCAGAAGAAAGGTTAGCTCTGTCTATGTGCTATCTGTGGCACCTGATGTCTAAGATGACACCTGAGTCATCTTGGAAGGCTGGCAATGGGCCACAGCATGCAGCAGAAGGTGAAGGCTAGACAAAGTCACAGGCTAGAAAATCCTGTCAGACTCCTGTGGATCCAGGACTCACTGGGTCTGGGTTTGACTTTGTTGTTTCCCAATGCTGCAACAAACTAGGGGTCTGGGGTCTGACCACCCTCAAACACAGCCAGGATCCCCAACAAGCTGATATGACAACCCTTCCAAGCCAAGGACACTAAAGATGGGATCGGTCTATGCAGTGGCATTTGAGGCTTAGCGAGGGCATCTCCAAGTCACAGAGCAAAGTCAGTGGCAGGCAATGAATGTCTAAGAAAATTCCACCAAGAGCATCTGAGTTTTTTGAGTAATGATTCCTCCCATTGGTGTGGTCCTTTAACCTGTTATTTATTTTCTTCCTCATTGTGTGTGACATTGTATATATAAATGTCCCTGTTTTACATCAGAAGACAAGCTTGTATAAAGCTCAGAGTGGCTCAGCTGAGAAAGACCTTTGAGTTTGTTATGCCCCACCAAGACAGTCTGCCAGTAACTAAGGACAGCCAGCCGTCCTCTTGGTGCTGTGGACTCAGGGGAGATGTGAGTGGGAGGTAGGAGGCCATGACACCTTTGGCCCCTTTTATTTCAGCTGGGCAGGTATCTATATAGGGTGTGTTCCCTCCCTGACTGCTGTCCCCAGGTGAGTCATAGCATGGTAAGGTTGAGGTCCAGCCTGGGCCCTGAATGATCCTGAGCCTCCTGATGGAAACTCATGGTTTCTGTCCCCAGCCACTTGCAAGTTGAGGACTCTGCCCACATCCTCTGTAACATGGAGACATAGAGACAGCTTTCCAGGGCACTAATTGGGGTTTAATAGACCTTCTTTATCCCCCCAAAGAATGGCCTGTACACACTTGCATTACACCGTGGTTCTGTGCATGACTACCTCCCAGCCTGTGGAGACCTCCCTGAGACCAGGGATCATGTGCGACGAAACTTAAGACTCAGTCAGACACCCTGCCACAGGAACTCCAGGGGGCTAGAATCCAGTACATTTGGGTCAACTCTGACTCTATCTTCTTCCTTCCTACCCCATTCCAGAAGCTGGTGCAGCCCGTGGCCAGCAATGATGCCCAGTGAGCACAGCGGGCCTAAGTGTACCTGCACGTCCTCTTTAAATAAGTAGCTGCAGGCTTCCCTGATACCAGTGGGTTGACTCAGAGGAGAAAAACAGCCATCAGCTTCTGCATCAAGGGGACAGGGAAGGGAGTTGCATTTGTGGCCACTCATTGCCTATCACCCTACAAGTGCTTTTCCTCCTGTTACCTATGCTAAGTCATGGAGGCTCCGTGAGAAGTGCCTAACTCAAGGTTCACAGCCGTTGAGTGATGAATAGGGAGAGGAAAAGCTAAATGCCACATTATGGGACTGGAGAGATGGCTCGGTAGTTAAGAGCACTTGCTTTCTAAAAAATATTTTATTTATTATTTTTATGTATATGTGTGTATTGCCTGCATGTGGGTAAGTGCACCTGTGTTGTACAATGCCCGCAGAGGACAGAGGAGGCTGTCAGATACCCTGGAACTGGAGTTATGGACAGTTGTTAGCTGCCATGTCAGTGCTGGGATTCGAACCCAGGTCTTCCGCAAGAACAGCCAGTGTTCTTAGCTGCTGAGCCATCTCTCCAGCCCCGCACTTGCTATCTTTACAGAGGTCCAGGGTTCGGTTCCCAGCCCTGCCACATGGCAGCTAACAACTATCTGTAAGCCCAGTTCCAGGGGGTCTAATGGCCTCTTCTGCCCTCCACAGGCATTGCATGACACAGATACATTTACATACATACAGATAAAACATTCATACACATAAAATAAAAATAAATCAATCAAAACACCCTTTAAGGAGCTGGAGAGATGGCCCAGCAGTTAAGAACAGGTATGGCTTTTCAAGAGGACCTGAGTTCAGTTCCCAGCAACCACATCAGGCAGTTCACAACTACCTGTAACTCCAATTCTTGGGGAATCTAATGCCTCTGGTTTTCTGGGCACCTGAATTCATGTGCACATATTCACACACATATATGCATATAGACATAATTATAAATAAAATTTAAGAATCAAAAAACATTTATGTCACATCCTTTGAAACTTCCAGACTTTCCCATCTTTCCCACATTGTCAGCTCAGTTATAGCCTGGGCTGCTGCCTCTGACTCTGCCCTGGAGCTGCCTGTTCCTCATGATGCACCAGCCTTGGCATCCACACCAGCCTTCACAATCAACCTGTCACCTGCCTAAACCTTTCAGTGGCTTCCCATTACCCTCTGAACTGCCACCCCCAGCCACTAAGCATCCCTGTCCTTGTGACCAAAACCCTGGCCACCTCCCAGCCTCTCTTCCTACACGGGGCTACCCCATGTCACTGCTGAGCTCACTGTTCACCAAGTCCCAGGTAAAGGACCATACCTCTGCCACAAAGGTCTTTCCTCACCTGGATCACCACGTAAGCTCTGCACTTACCCTAAAATGCAGGTCTCAGGTAACCTGGTCTGAGTGACTTCTCAAAGCAGAATGCTCTGTCTGTCTTGCAGGTTCCCCATAGGACCCTGAAGGTCCATCGTCACAGCTCTGGCAAACTGGCAGATTGGAAGCTACATGCTGTCCTTCTTTCTCCAGCAGGGAAAAAAAAAATAACTGGACACTGCAGAAGCCTTAGAAAACACTAGTCAGTTAAAAAGAAATCAGAGGGGATTGGAGAGATGGCTAAGAGGTTAAGAGCACTGGCTACTCTTGAAGAGGACCCAGGTTCTGTCAGTTATGGCTGACAACCATCCATAACTTCAGTTCCAGGGAATCTAATGCCCTCTTCTGATCGCCAAGGGCATTGCATGGCATAGGTGCACTTACATACATGCAGGCAAAACACTCATACACATAAAATAAAAATAATAAATAAAATATTTTTTAAAAAAGAAATCTGAGTTTCCCCTTCAGAGGTGAAAAGCAGTCCTCACTCCTGAAGGGATGAACACCATCCCTTTACACGTAGCACAATGGGAGTTAGCCAGGCCCTTTAGGTTGCCATGAGGAGTAGGTTATTATGTAATGTGCTTAGCAACAGTGTTCAGCCTGTAGTAATATCTGTTGTAATTATTTTTATGTGTTCTTGGAAAAGAGCACCATATCATTCTCTAGGGACTTCAGATTCACCAACACCCAGGGACAACTGACCACTGCAACATTTTGAAGTTATTCTTTCTAAATGTATATATTTCTTTAAAAATCTTGCAGTGCATATCATTTATGTATGTGTGTGCATGTACACGTGTTCATGTGCAGGCACCTGTATAGGTCTGTGTGGGTGTGGGTACACTTATGTGCATTCATGTGGAGGCCAGAAGTCCAGTTTGGGTGTCGTTCCTCAGGAGCCAGTCTACCCTGTTTTTGAGACTGGGTCTTTCACCAGGACCTGGGGCTTGCAGATTCTGGTTAGACTGACTGACCATTGAGCCCCAGGGATCCTGCTGCCTCCTCCTCTCAGCACTGGAATTACAAGAGCACACTGCTATGCTTGGCTTTTTTGTGGGGTGGGGGTTGACACAGGGTCTCCCTGTAGCCCCACCTGGCCTGGAACTTGGTATGTAGACCAGGTTATCCTTGATCTCACAGAGGTCTGCCTCTCTTTGCCTCCTGGGTGCTGAGAATAAAGGTGTACACTACCCCCACTGCCCTGCCATGCTCAGCTTTTTACATGGGTGCTCGGGAACAAACTTGGGTCCTTGTGCTTACCTACTGGCCCATCTTCCAGCCCCTGCATACAAGTTTTTCATTGAACACTGTTGTGAGCCATTTTCCATTTTTTTGTGCTCTAATTCTTTCCTCGTGTTTACCTCCCTTCCCTGCTGACAGCACCAAAGGCAAGCATGGACATTTTGTACCGTGTCCCCTCGTCACCCTCCCCCACACCTTCTCAGAGTGAGATCTGCTATGAACAGCATAGGCTGTGCGATGGCCTGGTCCCGTGTCCCCCACCAGGAGCCTAGAGAACATTTCTATAGGGAGGGAAGGAGATTCCTGGGGAGAGGACATTTCAAGGTCAGCCAGAAGTGCAGTTAAGTCCAATAAAGAGCAGAGGTAGACGGTCTTCCAAAAATGGGATTCCTGAGAGTGGAGAGATGACTCAGCAGTTCAGGAATACTCGCTGTTCTCCCAGAGTCCAGGTTCGATTTCTACCACCCATTTTTGATTCCCATAACCCACATGGTGGCTAACACCACCCATAACTTCAGCTCCAGGGAATCTGACACCCTCCTCTGGGTTCTGCAGGGCACTGCATGCACATGGTACAATTACATAATAAAGGCAAAGCATTCATACACATAAATAATATACACAAATAAAAATAAATT